ATGTGACGACATGCAAGCAAAGAACTGATTGAACAGGACTGGGGCTAGCCCCGAACCCTGTTTTACCCCATTGGAAATGGCAAATGCAGCTGATGTATCACTGTTGTAAAGATCCTGTTCCTCGTGGAGTAGCTAAATCAACTTCATGAATTTCCTTGGGCATTCATAACATCTCAGGATGATCCAGAGAGCCTCCCTGTTTAATGTCAAATGCCTTTGTCAGGTCAATGAAGACAGAGTAAAGAGGCTTGTTCTGCTTGATGCACTTTTCCTGGATTTGCCTGAGGACAAATATCATGTCTGCTGTACTCTGTTCTGGCCAAAAGCCACACTGTGCCTCTGGGAGGTTCCTTTCCAAGACTCTTCAGGAGAATGTGGGCAAAAAACTTGCCTGCAATGGACAGCAGTGAGATACCCCTGTAGTTTCCACAGTCTGAGTGCTTCCCTCATTGTGGTTCTCTACAAAAATAAGGGCATCACGGAAGTCATCAGGAATCTCCTCTGTGGACCAAATGTTTTCCAAGATGTCTTGGAATGCCTGTAAGGTATTTGGGTCTAGTGCTTTGTAGATCTCAGCAGGAATGCCGTTCTGTCCTGTTACTTTGTTTGAGTTCATCTGTGAGATTACTTTCTTGATCTCATCTGTAAAGAGAGGCAGGTCTGGGCATCCAAGATTAGCAGCTGAGGAATCTCCTGTAAGACATCAGGATCAACTCTGGATGGCCTATTGAGTAGGTCGGAAAAGTGTTTAGCCCAGCGGTTTTTCAGACCTTCCTGGTCTTTGATCAGGCTCTACCCATCAGATGACAGCAGGGAGAAACATCCTGATTTAGAAGGACCATAAACTGACTATGGTGCTGAAGAACTCTCTGGTGGCATGCATGTCTGCATAGCATTCCACCTGCTCAGCCTTTCTCCGCCACCACTCGTCCCACATTTCTCACAATTTTGTCTGTATTTTGGACTGCAGGTGCTTAAACCTGTCTTTGAGACAGATGATGGATCATTCTGCTGGTCTGCATAGGCCTTGTTCTTGGCCTGGAGGGCTGCTGAAATGGTCTCATGATTTTCATCAAACCAGTCTTGATGCGCCTGGGTTTTCAGTCTGAGTACAGTTGTTTCAGTCTGTGTGATGACATCTTTAAATTGCATCCACTTTTCAGAACAGATTCCTACAAGTGGTAAATTTCCAGAGAGTTTTTCGTTAAGTACATCTTGGAAATGTTGGACTTGGCCTTGGTCTTGCAGTCTGCCAATGTTGAATGACTTGGTTGCTTATGATATAAAGGGGCTATGTGCAGGTTGAGAACCAACTGGACCAACCTGTCATCTGTCCAGCACTCAGCACCTTGCATGGCTTGGGCGATGGTGATGTTTTTAAGGTTGTGCTGATGTACTATGACAAAGTCAAGTAGGTGGCAATGTTTGGATCTGGGATGCATCCAGGTAGTTTTGTACTTGTTTGTAAGTGTGAACATCATGTTAGTAATGCAGAGGTTGTGTTCGGCACATTTGCTCAGAAGCAGCAGGCCATTGCTATTTAGTTTTACCACCTCATGTCTCCTGAGGACTCCATCCCATTTGTCATTGTCTGTCCCCACTCTGGCACTGAAGTCACCCAAAATGATGAGTCTGTCACTGATGGAGGTTGTTCAAATAATCTGGTCCAGGTCTTTGTAGAAATCGTCCTTGTCTTCGTTTGGACTCATGAGAGTTGGTGTGTAGGCACTGACAATGGTGATATATCGGGACTTGCTGAGAGGAAAGCGGAACTTCATAATGCACTCATTTATTCCAGTGGGTAGGGTAGAGATGTTCTTCAGCAGAGCAGTTTTGATTGCAAAACCCGCTCCATCAGTCTGTGGTTTCCCTTTCCAAAAGAAGGTATATCCACTTGCTACTTCCTGTAATGAACCCTTGTCTGCCAGCCTGGTCTCACTGAGTGCAGCAATGTCAGTATTATAATGGTGAAGTTCAGCTGCTATGAGTGCTGTTCGTCTTTCAGGCCTTGACACCTTATCTCTATCCAGCAAGGTGCAGATGTTCCAGGCTCCAAAAATGAGTTTTGTTTTTCATGATGCTTGACTGCTAAGGAGATAATTTGCCAGCCATGGTTAGCTAGCCAGATGTTGTGGAGTGGGCAATGTTTAGGGTACCTTTTCTAACCCCCTCCCTCAAGTGAGGTGGGCAGTGCTATCCTAGAAGGGCTACCCAGTCACCTTGGATGCTGCCGGACATCTCTGCTGCTCCAGGTACTGAGATGAATGACCACTGGTCCAAGGGCCACCCATGTGCAGATTTGTGACTACAACAGTCAGTGGTCATCTCCACCTGTTGCTTCTCCACTCTCCCATCACTGCACGGCTCAATGAATTAGGTTTGGACTGAGATGAATTGTAGATGAATTGTAGATGAAGATGAACTGCACAACAGAAAGCTGTGTGTGATGGAGTTTTAAGTGGAACAGCCATTGCACAGGGGCAGTCCCACTCTCTTGGCATAAGAGATCTTAATCCAGTAGCATGGACAACCGTTATGGCTGGAGACCTCTCCTGCTGCAGTGGATGGCCAGGATGTCTAAGTGTCTTGTTGTGCTCTTAGTGCTCCACAGTGCCTGCTGGACCTGCCTTCTTGACCATTGGACCATTGATTGGTCTCCTCCGCTCAATCTGCCAGGGCTAGATTTCACATGCTGGGATAGACAAATCCCCTACTCCACCCAGGGTCGAAGATCCATCGATTACCCTCACTTGGTTTGGCCTGTCTGCCAAGACAGTTTACCTGGGTGTGGCTCCTGTGTGTGTTACAGCTTCTTGGAGAGCTGAGTGTCAGGTGGGAGCCAAAGGTGAACAAGCAGCCCTAGAAAGGGCATGGCAGGCCCCTCTACCAGAGGTGTGACCCCTCCCTGGACAACCCATACACACTTAGCTAACATGTGTAAGCAATGGCCTATTATGTCCCACACTTGACTCAATCTGAAGTTTAATTCTGAATGGATAATCAGGCAAACCTAGGGGAAGGTCTATATGGTAACCTCTGGTGATTATGTAAATTTTCTCCCCAAACAACTCACCTTTGACAATAAACTTGGTTTCATTTCCAGTATAAATTTGTTGAGCTTCCATATATAAAATGTACCGTGTTATTATCCCATTTGGTGTTTTTGGAGGATCCCAACTCAACCATAAAGATGTGGGGAATGAAACAGCTATGGGTGGCTGGACATTTTGTGGAGCTGTAGAAAGAAATAAAAAAATACGTTAAAAAAGATGGCTTCATGATCAGATGAGATGTATGATTTAGAACCATATGTTTTAGATTACTTACCTTTATATGTATGCAAATATTTCAAAATATAAAACTGACTTTTATTTTCGGTGCCTTTGAATCAGTGTCAACTCCTAGTGACTGTCTAGACTAGGCCCTGCAGTTTTCTTGGCAACATTTTCAGAAGTGGGTTGCCTTTGCCTTCTTCCTAGGGCTGAGAGAGAGTGACTGGCCCAAGGTCACCCAGCTAGCTTTGTACCTAAGGTGGGAGTAGAAGTCTCCCAGTTTCTAGCCTGGTGCCTTAATTAAACTGGCTCTCAACATGTATTTAGAGTGCACTTAAGTAAATGAATTCTGTTTTTCTAGTTTGACCAGTGTACAAAGCACTGTGTGAGAAATAGCACAATATGCAGACTTATAATTAACTACATAACTGTTCTGTAGAAAGAAGAAATTTAAAGTAGCAGCCAGGAAGCTTTGTAAGGTCTTGTCAGCATGGAAGATGATCTCCCAAATGTCATAGCTGCATTCATTGAACTTGGTGATGTCTTTTGCATTCTCCCAGTAGGGGTCAACTTTGTGAATCTGAGAAGATAATCTGATTGTTCACAAGTTTTCTGTATACCATCAGGCAATATTGGTTAGCAATGTGCATGCTAAATGATGCATGCGGAAATGATAGCTGAAGCATATGATTGTTGTCAGTCTTCTGATATCTTCAATGTATTTTTACTATGCATGCAATATGAGCATCTCCAAACAGAAATTGCTTACATTGACTTTGTGTCCAACCCTTTGCAGGGGTAAAACCTACTCTCTCCATGGCTTTATTTGATTTTTGTGAAGGAAAAAAAAAATCATTATATAATGACAATGTTTGCATAAATGCAATTATTTTCTCAATCACTTGTAGAATGCTTGTTTTGACTATATCAATCATTTTGAAAGGAAATAAAAGCTTCCTGTTTTGTTTTGTTTTGTTTTTTTAGAAAATCTGACTCCAAATATAATCATGTTAACTAATTTTGATTATAATTCTGGAACTGCATATTTATGTATTAGTTTTTGTCATAGTGATCCACAAATAATCTAATTCTTATTGACAAATGGTAGTAAAGCATTAAGTTATCAATTTACTAATGTACCTGAGAGGGTATTTAGAATACTTTTGGAGGTGCTAACTGGATTTAGGGATTTAGAATAGGACTTATCTGAACAGATAATTAAAGGGTACATTTTGAAGTAGAAGAACAAACTGTGAATGACATCTGAGAAGAGTTCACAAAGATATTCATAAAACTAAAACTTCTTACAAACAGCGCCCCCCCCCAATTCATGTTAAATGGGAATATGTGAAAATCATCTGTCTCAAGCACCAATTTAGATATTTACACCTATTTAGTTCCACATGATATATCATATTTCCAAATACTGAAAGTCTCACATTTAGCCAAAAGCAAGAAATACTTATTTCAGAGCTGTTACTTCCTAATAGGTTAAATGATTAATTACCAGCTAGGTACATCAACTATTAGTAACAAGAACTTTCAAAATCTGGTCCCATATTTTTCTAGAGTATACTGTTCCAAATTATGTATTATTCCTGTACAAAGCCTATGAGCTCACCAATACTACTATTGAGAAAAGGCTAATTTTGTACATTTAATGGATTCACAGCTTGTGAAATTCATAATCAGCCCTCTGGAACATGGAAGAACCTTGGGACAGAAGCAGAGTATAAACTGGGAGCCTAGAAAGAGAATCAATTGACATCCAGAGTAACTTGGATGTTTCAAGTTTTCCATTCTGACAGAAGTTAGCGGGACTAACAGGTACAAGACCCAGAGCTATTATAAATCAGCTAAATGCATAAATGAATGCCATCTAAACTTACAGCGTCCCTCAAGCTTCTATGAAATAAACATGTAAATCTTTTGAACTTTGATCTTCACCTGAGTTAATCTTTCCTCTTGCTTGTAAGCATGAGCACTTGTTTGAGCTTAAGATTCCCTACTGATTTGAGCTGGAGTCAAAGACTGAACTAATTAATTCCCATTTAGATGAAAGGAGGATGGCCAAATTTGTGAAACAACCATGCATAAATCTGCTCTGGGCAATCTATACCTCTGTGAAAAGGACTCTACCATCAGTTCCCATATGTACACATGAGTTTGGGTTTGTCTGTGAACAAGAAATATTTACCAATGGACTGCAGAACTGGAGGTTCTTTTAACCACCAGCCAGTGATAAGAAAGTGGAGGTGCCTATTGTATCCTGTAATTATTGCCTTCTCCTTAAATTGAGATAAGGATTATAGGAAAGTATGTGTTTTACTTCTTTTGAACATCTATATTTATTGGACATTGTCCAAGTTATTAGTCGTTTAGGACTGAACTGTGTAGTAGCTGAACATACAATAAACTGAATATGGAAAAAAAATTATCTTTGGCAATTGCCACATAGTTTATGAATATTTTACCTGATTCTGACATAGCATCATTCTCTAAAAGATATATATTTTCTATATAAACTTTTAATCAATAACCAAAGTAATGTTATTTCATGAGGAAAACTCTGGATTTAGATTGGCATGAATTTAAAAACTAAGTTATATTATGTCCTTTTATGTTTAAGCTTATGTTTAAGTCCTGCAATTTTTTTTGAGAACTCTTCAATAATTGATGCACAGAAGTTATTGAGATGGTCTCACTGTAAAGACAGAGCTGGGACACATTTTCTCTTCCTTGCAGCTCTCGTGGTTAATGCCAGCTTCAGAAACTATAATTTAAGCTTGTAACTTTTAAGTTTCAAGTACAACAGATTAATAAATGGCCCAATTGGCATTTTGAGGTTCCATCAGGCTGAAATAATTGTTGCCTGTGCTGGTGTTTAGCAGTTAAAAGAGACCATGGAAATCAACCGTTTGATTCTCAATTTCATACTGTGCCATACAATCAATTCTTTTTAGTCAGACTGTCTCTAGATTTACTTCTGAGCCATAGTAAAATGAGGAAGCTTTCATTAATCTTTCAGATGCTTCATATTAATGACAAGGCTCTTGCATGAACAATGTAACAGCAATTAAAAAGCCCATTAATCTGCATTACAGCTATTAAAGATGCATGTCATTAAAGGGTATGGAGTTTGATTCATTTTAGCACCCCCCAAAAAATGGAGCAATTATGGTCTGGCAATGCACTTTGTCATCAAATTAGGTTGGGGTTTTCCAGCAAATGGCTTTGCAGCATTTAGCTCCTTTCCTATTTTATTATTCATGACTGAAATGTGGAAGTCAAGACCTTTGAAATTACTTTACCTTCTTGTGGAGTGGAGATGTTCAAGGCATGTGAGCTCCCGGTACAGCCTGCCAAAGTGCAAGCCATTAGGGTTACAGCATAGTTTGCAAACGGACGCAAACCTGTCAGCAGGCCTGCAACAGAAAGAATCCATGCTGGGTGTACAATAGGCAAAGATAGCATGCAGATATATCTTAAGATAATTTAACACAACAGTGAGTCTAATTATACATTGTATGTTTATAACAGAGACAAATGTGTTGAGCTTCAGCTAAGAAATTTTGCTAGCCTCTTGAGGTTCCAGGGGGGTTTGATCTAAGCAGGACACTTCAATTTCACTTTCATCCTATTGAAATACATTGTTATTTAGATACAGGTTGTAATAACTGTTTTCAGTGTTACAGACCATTCAAGCTAGTGAAACACTATACTTTAGATATGATTTTAAAGAGGTGTGTAGAGAGTTACTGTATTAATTCCTGATGTTGTATTTTATTTTGTATCGAGCCTCCTTAGAGGTGCATAACAAATATAGTATTATTATTATTTAGTTGTTTGAAAACTATGAACAAATAAGTCTGAACGTGCAAGATAAAATTAGATTGTGCCCAGTGCCTTATCCTTGACTTCCCTTTATTAATCAGCCTGTGTACTTTATGTAGAACCTGTGCCATGCTATCTATATCTTGTACTTCAGCAGAACACAGAGGGCATCTTGTCACTTGATAAGACATTAATTGTGTGATTGCAATTAACATGCACATTTGTGTAACTATCAGCCACAGGAAAGTCTGAAGAGCCTTTCCTTACTAGAAGCACAAAGCTTCATTTAACATTTATTTCTTTAAAGTGCTTTTGCTCTGCTCTTTGTTAAACCAGCCCCCCAACTTGCAAATATCAGGACCAAGGTAATTCCTGCCTTTAAGTTTGCAATGCAAAGGTATAAGAAAAAGTTGATGGGAGGGAAAAATAAAGCCAATTCTGAAGAAGTTCTCAGTTCTTAAAAGTATAGTGCTCATTATAAACCAGGTGAGATTGAACTATTCAGGTGGCACAGATGCAAAGAATCCATAGCAAGTGTACTTAACTGTCTCTGAATGCAAACATTTTTTACTTGATTTTGAGCCAAAAAATATTTAGCTCCCTGTTGAGGCATAATTCATTTTGCCAAATCAAGCCATTATACCTGAAGATTTCTCTTATTTTCCCAAATACATTTTTGTAACCAACTTTACCAAATGCATGAATATATATACATACATACATACATACATACATACATACATACATACATACATATTTGGTGCAATTTTTGAATCAAGAAATATTTCTGAAATAGATGCTAGTATATTTTGTGCATTCCTCCCCTTTTTTGGGGGGGGGAGGGTCAATTTGTGCTGCAACTCATACCATCTCACTTGAAAAGAAATCAATGACAGATTTCTCCAGTGAGTGATAATGCCTGATTTGTATTTAAATATAGTGGGAAACGTCTAGAGGAACTAAGGCTGCTACACTACTGTCATCCATTAGGGTTTCTATCCTTAGACCAGGCTGGAATGAATTTAAACAGCCAGTAAAGTACCAAAAAAAAAAAAAAATTAAGCTAAGAGAGGCTACAACAACAATATGTTGCACAAGAACAAGTGATTATAGATTGGAAGGTAGTTGTTCAAATACATAAGGCATAATAGTAGATTTCTGTAGCATAGGACTGCACTACTGTTTATTTAAGATGACCTATGAATACACTTTCCATCCAGGGGTATTCACTACTTCTAATTTAAAATCTTCCCTTTTACAATTCTTATGATCAATATAACAGCTGATGGGCTTCAGACTTCCAAATAATGTGCCCATATTCTCAGATTGCATAGACTGAAAAAACAAATTCCTTACAATCTAATTAGATGGTCATACAGTACTTATAATTAAATGCAAATGTAAGATACTTTATCACAGAATGCAAGGACAACTGGGCCATTGTGATTTTTTTTAAGGTTCTATTGCTTGCCTATTTTGGATTCTGGTGGAAAAGCTAACACAGCTTTCAGATTGTCAGCTGAATAGAACTGAACAGATTTGATGGCAGCAAAGCACTGAGATTTCTTCATTATTATCAACTCTGAAAAAGTAAAATGGGACCTTGCAATTGGTTTACTGTCACCTGAACTCTAAAAAGTGACCTAAAAGTTTCACTGCTATCAATTCCCCAAAATATCAAGTCACTTGTACAAATTATATACATTCCGAGTCATTTTTTTGTTCCACATTGAAACTGGATTCATAACAAAACTACCAGGTCTGTGAAATAACTTCCAAGGAATTGAGGTATCCTTCTAGATAGAGAAATCTGCTGGGACAGAATCACAAAACTATTTCAGCAGTTAAAAATTGGAGAACCCCTACCCAAAAAAACTCTTTTCTGCAACCTTCAAAAGCCGCTTCCAATCAAAGTGGATGAAATTAATTAGTGTGATTTCTTCATACTTTGAGGTAAGAAACAAAAACAGTAACAAAAACCCCAAAAGAAAAAAAGAAAAACTTAGAATTCCTCCTCCCCCAAAAACAAAACAGAAAGGAACAGAAAATCCTATTCTCTGGCTTTACCCTTGCATGTTATATAAACCTGCACACCTAGGATCACTCCCAAACAAATGAAAGGGTTTAAGTGTAACCCTCAGCTATCAAAAGGTTGCCTGAATATGCAGCAGATCCTCTACCCCTATGAGACTTATAAGTACCTGAAAGATCTATTCAGATCTGATAGGGACCTGTCCATAAGAACCAAATCATTAAAAAATGAAGAAATGAAAATTTGAGTTTTATTTTATATTCTAACAAGTGTAATTTGTTTTCTTGAAAACCGAATTATTATTTTAGAAGCCAGCACCAAACAATACTTTCTCCATCTTTCCCCTCCCTTCCTTCCTCCCTCCTTCCCTTCTTTCCTTCTTTCATTTTCCTCAGATAAACTAAAGTAAAGCTTCAAGGTTTGTCTTTCTAAACAGATATTAAATTAAATATTACTAATAATTAAATACAGCCTATTTCAATAAAATTGAAAACTTGCTTTGCATACCAAATAGGCATCATTGCTGCGTTTGAGTTCAGTTCATTGCACACTCTTAACTTTACATCCATATTTAACAAATGACATTATTCAGTTTCATGGGGTCATTGTGTCAAAATGTCTGTATTAGATTTTTAATTTACTTCCAAAGGTTTCCATCATTGGGGAGAAAAAGAGGTACCTTCAATTTACTGATTTACTATCCATAATCTACCATGTGGATTTTTTAAAGACTGCAACTTTTGGCATAATCTAATTACAAAGAGAGTGAAAGAAATTCCCTGCCTCTTGGTTTGTTAATGCAAACTGCATGCTCAATGACTTAAAAAACCATTTTTGTTTAAAAGACCAATTATATATACTGGAAATTGTTCAAATTGTTCAGAGGAGAATAAAGTTAGACGGGGGGGGGGGACTTCAGGTCCTATTTTTTATGTTTATTCCTAGGTGAGAATTTGCATTTGATAAATTATGTAAAATAAAACTATTTGACAGATAATTGCTTCAGAAGTCATACTTTTTTTTTTTTTAACATCAATGATAATATTCTTATAAGTAGCATTTTCATATATGCTGCTTTTAACCTGAAGGCCCAAAGAATCCTTCCGCTTTCAATATCTTACAATCTATCCAATTATGATCCAAACGCTATCCAGAATATAACTATGTGGAGCTCCACACACATTGGTGGTGAGCTCCAACATGTGGGCTTTCCTGCCTAGGCCTAGCCAACATAGAATGGAGCCAAGTATTCAGGGATGGTGATTTCTGAGACATCATATCCCACACCCCAATACTCACTCAGCTCTTACAACTGATGGACAATTACACTTTATAGTAAAATTTTATAGTGAGTTTTTTTTCCTCAAACATGTTATAACATCACTCTCATGACAATGCATAATTCAATTTGCTCTGTTGTAAATTAACACGTGCATGATACCTCAGTGATGATCCCAGTAGTGGGGGCTGCCTTTATGTGCAGGATAGGCAGGCGCTGAGTATAAATTTCAGTGACTGACTGGAGCGCTGAGCAAATGAGGAAGTAATGAGAGCAGAGCAGCCAGTTCTTTAATTGAATTAAAAGCTGGGGTGACACGAATGCAGACACCTGTCCAATTACAGACAGGCCAAGGTGTTTACCATTGCTGTACAAGTGATTTGAAGATGACAGAAATCTTTCCGCCCACAGATTAACATAATGAAGGAGAACCGATTACAGCAGAAGCCAGCCAAACAGCTTGGTTGGCAGCTGAGAGAGGAAGAAAAAGTAGCTTACCAAACTACAGAGAAGAAAAATGGCATTTTTTTGATACAGCAGTTCCTGTACGTTTAAGGGTAAGTCCAGAGACCTGTGTTCTGCTGATTGCCCTTGTCATTGCAGGGGCAGGGAGGGGAAGCAACAGAAGTTTGTGACTCAGATGCGACATGGAAGCGATCCTGCAAAACCTCCCACACAGTCCATCTCATAATCACACCTGATTTTTTCAGGACTAGAGAGATGTCCTTCTTTGGACACTTTCTGCTCACTTCCCTTAGGAATAGTTAAAAAAAAAAAAACAGCTTTAAAGGGTTTAAAAGAAAAGGATCTAATGGCAAGAGTACCAAACAATTGTTAAAAAAGGCATCCAAGCAGAAGTTATTTTGAAACACAATTATTGGGACACAATCTGTATAGTAGCAAAATCAAAGCAAATCAAATTAAAAACAAGCATATTTAAATGAAATCTAAATATAATGTGTGGGTTAAACAGAACAATGAGAACATAAACAATAATTTGTGATAATAGGATCTTAATAGCACTATTTAATTCTGCAAAATAGCACATATTGGACTGGGCTAGGAGATAGGACTATAAGAAGGGGTACAGCTATTCACTTAATTTTTCTCAACAAGTTGAAAATGCTCATTATTTATATAAAAAGTCATGCAGTTAACTAATAATTGGTCTGATTCAAAATGATCAAGTGAATAGCTTACCCAGTTCAGTTCAGCCAACAAAAATCAGAGATGGGGCTACATGTAGAGAATAAGGAGGATGACCTTGACAGAGATATACG